AACTGTGCTAAGAAATTACTATGTTACAGAGAGAGAACAGCCTTAATGGGTTCGCTATAATGAGTGAAGAATGTATATTCTAATTATTTTTTTTAATAATTTTATTAAACAATCTTTAACTTTAATATAAGCAATATTTTAATATAAGTGAATACTTGTAATTATAACCTTTTGATACTATAACAGAACTCAAAGTTCGAGATTTCTAACAGAAAATAATTATAACTTTTTGGTACTTTAACAGAACTCGAAGTTCGAGATTTCTAATAAAAAATAAATAATTAATTATAATTAGTAAAAATTAAACCCTTATATAGTAATAAATAGGAAAAGTAAAAAAAAAATAAACTTTTGTCTCAAAAAATACATCCCTAGTCTTAACGTACAAGTACTTAGTATTCAAAATTATGTAATATAGACAATAGATAACCCTGATCATAGTACCTGAAATTAACTAGTTTATAACTATATGCATAGTCTTGAAATGTATATTGATATATAGTTTTGGTCATTAAGATTTTATAAACATATTAATCAATTATATATATGATATAGTGATAGCTCTGAATTAATTACCTACTCGAACTTAATCAAACCTGATCAAATCTATATGCAGTGTAAGTTTTAGTATTAAATTATATATATATATAATCAGATCAAATAGTATAAGGTAACTAATATATATATAAATAATATATCAGTTTATTTTTTCAATAATAAAGTAAACCCAAAACTCGAGGTTTGTTATTGATAAAGATCTGAAAGAATTTTTAATACTTATTTGAACATATTTATGAATGTATTTTATTTATTTTAAAGACAAAATTCTAATTAGATCAAATAGCATAAGGTAACTAATATATATCTAATAAATAATATATCAGTTTAGTTTTTCAATAGTAAAGTAAACCCGAAACTCAAGGTTTGTTATTATTAACTTCAAGTCCACATAAGTGATTAATAGGGTCGAATAACTAATTGTAAGTCTTGTTCTCTACCACAATTCTTGCAAGTCACTAAGGTGAATGGTAATATCTGATTCTACAATCGTTTCAGAATCCAAGTCTTAATAAGCCTAGTCGAAGTTACAAGTCAATTCAGTCCGTCGAATTGAGTCTCGAGAGGGTTTATTAAAGTTACTAGTCGAACTCAAGGACAATGTGCAAGGGAATATTCAGATAAGCATATATTTTATTCAAGCGAAAAGAAACAATTATTTAAGGATGGAATGGTTTTCTTTATTAATCATCAAAGTAGAACTAACAAATTCTTTATTAGTCATAAGATAGAACTGGGAATTCTCCCCTCTACTGCTTGCAATTTGTAGGTCTTTAAATACATTTTAATTCCCAGTAACGTAGACACCGCAATTGTGGTGTTTACACCGAAAATATAACGTAGACGTGGAAATTTAGGTGTATGCACCACAAAAGTAACGTACACACCGAAAGATCTCAAGGCGCAATCTTTGTGCAATCACGCATACGTGATTTTCTCGGTGTTTACGTGATTCATCTGATTTCTATGCAACTTAGCCACTCATCATTACCATTTTAGTATAAGTTATGAAATATTCGAAAGAAATTAATAGATATACTAAAATTGGGCATTGTTACCAGAATGGATGGGGAATTACTAATAAACTATATACATGCGGTTATCTCACCGAGAAAAATAAAGAAACTATTTACAATAATATATAAAATAAAAAATAAAAAATTTTAATTCGTTACAGTAGAATAATGATTTTAACAATGGGCGTTGGTGATTTCAAAAATGGATGAGTGATTTGAACAGCGAGTGAGTTTATTATTTCAAAGTAGATCGGTTAGTTAATTTTAACGGTAAGTAAATTAGTAAGTCGATGAGTGTTTACGATTCGAGTAATGATAAAGATTTTAGCAATGGGTGGAGTCCAGATTTTGTAGTGTAAATTCATGAATTAGCAGAGATTTTAACAGTGGATGATCGTTTAGCAATGCAGATTCGTGGCTTTGACGGAGATGGTCGTGATTTTAATAGTGGGTGAAGAATATACAAGATGTGACAACTATGATCACGCCGACCAATCGGGTATTAGATTTTGGGTACGCACATAATTTCTTTCTCGAATAAGCCATACACTTCGTGATATTCATCACTCCGTTCCTGGTATTAAAGATTTTGCCGTAGTAATAATGCAGATCTATTTCTAATTATATACTATTATGTACTGTACGAAAAAATTGGGCTATTATATAAACGGCACATATATCAATAGGATTCATGGCCTTCTGTTCGTCCTCCATTACTATTAATATTCGAAATATTACTATCAGAAGCTATAATTTTTGAAATATGGGTAAGTTTATGTATAACTGTGAAACTTAGATATCTCATTGCTGCTGAAATATATACAGTATTTAGATTTTTTTTATTGCATCAAAAAGCGGCTAAGTATTGCAAATTTCGCTTTTGCAAGTTTTTATTTGTTGTCTTGGTAATAACTCCAAAATTAGTAACACCAATATTCGATTTTAGGCTTTCTTAAGTACCTCGTCTGTGGTTGCCTAATACCAGATAATGCGTTAATTTAAGATTAGCGCTTGTTGTTGGGGCCTGTATGAGCTTAAGAGATTATACTTTTGCCGGCCTGCAAAATAAAATTTTTAAGAAGCTTGATCAGTATTTTATTATATTTTTGAATATCTGGCCAGCAATTTTACTAAGATCTTAAAATTTTGAGTTTTAATAGTCCTCTACTTAGATTCTTATGAAATTTGGCTTATTTAAATTAATCAGCGTAACTTTGTAAAAAAGAGATGGGCTGTATTTACCTTTTTCGATTTACTTGTAGTGTTTCGATCCTAAATCCAACTATCGATTGATCTTTTAATCCAAATACCCAGATCAGAGATTTTTACTTCGATGGTCAAAGAATTTAAATAATGGACCTAAGAATGTGTCCAAAGTAAGCTTTATATATAATCTGATGCAGATTCGATCCAAATTCGATAGAATCCAGATGGTCTGTCAAAGATAGGATCAAAATACTAAGCGCTTGCTTTATAGCATCATTTGCACAACTAATCTTACATAACAGTAGTAGGTATAAATGAGTGCTGTCAAGAGAAAACTCGCAAATCTTATAAGATTTACGGATATTCTCTTGGCGACACTCATATATTAAAAGAGAAATATATAGTATCGATATATAAAAATTAAATTTAGACTTTAACCATGTAACTTTATTGTGAAATTATATGTTTAATAAACCTGATACAAATTATGAAGGGCTTTTCTACTGCGTTTTATAACTATATAGTTTAAAAAAAAAAAATTTTTTTTTAAAAAAAAAAAAATCTGTGCGGCCGTGTCATTTGGCACCAGTTCGTGATATGAAAATCAATTAATTAAATTTGTGTAGCCTTATCTAAAAGTTTTAATGGCAAATTTTATTTATTTATTTATTTATTATCATTACAAATTTTATTATTACAATTTTATTACTATTAGATTTAAAATTTTATTTTATTTATTTTTATTTATTCTATTTACAAAATATTACAAAAATAATTACTATTACTATTACTATTCTCCCGTACCCTCCTTCTTAATTCTTGCACCTCATCCTCCAAATTTGCTACCCGAACACGTAGCCTATCCCTCTCCGTTCTAAGATTCTGAAGCTGAGTTTCGTGTATGAAACTTTCTCTTGCCGCTTCTAAGACTGAAGGATTTCGTTCAGCCGCTTCTGCCTCCAAACTTATAACTTGATTTTGGAGCACCGACAAATGATCTGGAACCGAACTTCCTTTACTATGACGAGGCATCTACAAAGCAAAACTTAATTAGAAACGACTTATTCCTAAGTATATAAACTTGGAAAACGATAAAAGAAACAATTGGAAAGACCCTTATTCCAAGAATACTACAAGCAAGGTCTATTACTTGCAATACCAATGGACATAAGTTCTTATCCTACCCGCACGAGAGACCATGGGTATCGAAACGAAAAAGAGGAAAAACAAAGGGAAAAATATCTACTAGG